AGAATACTTATTTAGCACTTTTTATATGCTAAATAAGCACAAATAATATAATAATGGACAAAGCATACGTGATGCATATCCATAAGCCACAAATATTGATATTACTCTTGAGTACAGTTTTCCATAAAATTCAGGGAAGATCATTTACAAAGACTTTGAGTATGACTCCAAAAGCACAGGCAACAAAAGGAAAAATAAACAAATGGGATTTTATCAAACTAAAAAGCTTATGCACAGCAAAAGAAACAATTAACAGAGTGAAAACACTATCTACAGAGTGGGAGAAAATATTTGTAAACTATACATCTGAAAAAGGATTAATATCCAGAATTTACAAGGAACTCAAACAACTTAACAGTAAAAAGACAAATAACCTGATTAAAAAATGGGCAAATGAACTGAATAGGCATTTCTCAAAAGAAGATATATAAATGGCAAACAGACACATGAAAAATGCTCAACATCACTCAGCATCAGGGAAATGCAAATCAAAGCCACATTAATTACCATCTCACCCCATTTAGACTGGCTATTGTCAAAAAGACAGAGAATAACAAATGCTGGCAAGGATGGTGAGAAAGGTGAAACCTCATACACTGTTGGTGGGACTGTAAATTGGTGCAGCCATTATGGAAAAAGGTATGGAGGTTCATCAAACAACTACAGATACAAGTGACATATGATCCCGCAATTTCACTGCTGGTTATATACCGAAAGGAATGGAAATCATCATGTCAAAGGGATACCTGCACTGCCATGTATATCACTGCTCTATTCACAATAGCCAAGAGTTGGAACCAACCTAAATGTCCATCATCAAACAACTGGATAAGGAAAATGTGGTATACTTACACAATGGAATACTATTCTGCCATAAAAAAAAGAATGAAATACTGCCATTTGCAGCAACATGGATGAACTCAGAGAAAATCATTTTGAAAAATCATGTTAAGTGAAATAAGCCAGACACAGAAAGAGAAATGCCACATGTCCTCACTCATAAGAGGGAGCTGAAAAATAAATAAAGAAAGAAACTAACAAACAAACAATGACAATAATATGTTGAACTTTCAAAAGGAGAGAGCAGAACTGAGGTTACCAAGGATGGGAAGCAGGAGGGGGGTGGGGTTAAGGGAGAAATCGGTAAAGGGCCATGAAAAACTATTACATTGTATATTGTTGAATATACTAATTATCCTGATTCAAGCATCACATATTGCACACAGGTATTGATCTTAACTCTGTATCCCACAGATATGTACAATCAACTATGTCACAATAAAAAAGGAGAAATAATAATAAAGAAATAAGTAAATACGAGGTGATTAAATTGTGGGGACTATGCCCTCATGAACCCATTGATCTATTCATGCAATAATGTGCATGGTTTTGATGGCTTTATAAGGAGGGCAAGTGAGAAGGTTCACTCTCTGTTGCTCAGTTGATTCTCACCGCGTGATACCCTTTGTTGCTGTGGAGAGTCACCACCAAGAAGAAAGCCCTCACCAAATGCAACCCATGGACTGTGGACTTCCCAGTCTCTGAAACTGTAAGATATAAATTTTGTTCTTTATAAATTACCCAGTTTCAGGTATGCTGTTATAAGCAACAGCAGTTTGACTAATACAGTAACCAATTGCAAATGGTCATTTTTGTCTACATCTTATAATGAGTTTTTAAGCTGACTGGAGAATAGAATTGTTATAGTCTTCCAGAAACAAACAGACCCCCTTCCCAATTAGTAGGTAAAATATCAAGGCTGGGGCTGGCCCGGTGGCGCACTGGATAGTGCGCCGCTTGGGAAGCGCGGTGGCGCTCCCGCC